AGTTCAATGGGAATCGATACTCCAATCATTTTCAGGGGGTGGAGCGGTAAGGGAGTATTTTAGGAAGGAATTACCGGAGTTCAGTATTTTTGATAACGCCCTGGAGGAGCGGTGAAACGCGTTGACATAACTGCCGGTCTTTTCTTCGCTATGCTGTGACGTCATATCTGGTGAGTGGAACGCACGTGGGACACTGCATTCCAGAGCCATCTTTACTGTGTCTGTATCTATCTGAGATGCCAGTTCACACACTATGGGAATCTTCATTGGCAGAAAGTGATTTGATGGTCATATGTAATAGACCCAAATCATTTCTTGTTGTTTTAACATGTGAGTGCAATTGATGCATCTATTTTTAGAATTACATTTTTTTTAACAATATTACACTATCAGTTTTTTTCTTTTTTTACACTGATCGAATTGTGTGGGAAATCTTTCTATTTGAGCATTCTTCTGAGCAGTGGAACCCCTATTGGCAGGATATATAATATCCACAAAGCGTATTTAACTCTTAATCACTGAGAGTCCACTATACAGTATTTGGTGAGTGCAGTATACGTTGGTTATCACGGATGGTGTTTATACACTGAAGTTTTCTGCATACGGCACCTTTTCATTTTCTTTGGAGCACATTGGATTTAGGATATCTTCATTATTTTTGGATTGGGACTTTTTTTTTTTTTTGCACTTTTGATTTGGACATTATATATTATTTTATATAGTTTTCATTTAAGTTTTGTGTTTTTATTTATATATAATTTTTTTTTTTGCTGTGTTTTTTTATTTTTAGCTTATCTCAATGAATCTAAATGATCTGAATTAATCTGAAAACTTTGTTATAACTTTTTTGGATTCATTCAGATTTGTTACTATGTTCATTCAGAAATTCAGATACATCTGAATCTCCGAAAATGAAATTTTAATCCAAAAAAATGAATCTGAATGAAACAAATTGCACATGCCTACTAAGCTCTGGGGAAAATGAGAAGAACTGCAATTCCATAGTGCACAGTCTGTTTAAGGAAATCAACCCTATCGCATCTTTAGATGTGTGCTGTTTATCATGACAAATGATGTATCTGGTAGAAAGAATGGCATGTAACAAATGTCTTATATCTATAAATGTTGCGCTCCTATTATCCAACTATATAAAGTGTGTAAAATATACTATTATATATACAAACTGACAAAAAACAATTTCAATATATCAAAGTGATCATAATAAAAAACAAAAATAAATCTGTTTCCAAAAAAAGTCCAAATTTGTGATTAAAGTGATTAAAACATAATACAGCGACTTTCTGTGAAACCTTCAGTGAAATTAAATGTGCGCTCACCTCCTTCTAAGCCTATTATACAGGCTTAATAAGCTTTTGGTTCACATATCCTGGAACCTACTAGAATTGCTGCAGTATATGATGGATGTTGGGAACTTCTTGCAAACACCTTTCCCCTTTAAACGCTGTATATCTCTGCAGGGATTTCTCCCTCCTTCAGCAAGTTGGTGAGTTTGGGAGCAATTACAAAATACAGGTGTGTGTAACTTGCAAGCCAAACAAAAAAAACCTTAGGGATCGCTAACAATTACCACATACTCCAACTGTGCAATTTAAACCATATATCTATAAATGTTGCGCTCCTATTATCCAACTATATAAAAGTGTGTGAAATATACTATTATATATACAAACTGACAAAAAATTTTAAATATATCAATAAAGTGATCATAATAAACAAAAAAATAAATCCATTATCCAAAAAAAGTCCAAATTTATGATAAAGTGATTAAAACATAATACAGTGACTTTCCGTGAATCCTTCAGTGAAAATAGATGTGCGCTCACCTCCTTCTAAGCCTATTATACAGGCTTAATAAACTTTTGGTTCACATATCCTGGAACCTACTAGGATTACTGCAGTATATGATGGATGTTGGGTACTTCTTGCAAACACCTTTCCCCTTTAAATGCTGTATATCTCTGCAAGGATTTCTCCCTCCTTCAGCTGCTTTGAATCACTAGCACAATCCTCCTTATACGTTCCACAGTGTGAAAGGAGACAATAATAATCATAACCCCCTGATGAAGCCATGTGTCCTATGGCGTAACGCGTAGGGGTGGGGCTACGAAGTCACTCGGTTTCAGAGAGAACAAGCGGCAAGTACATATGCCAACGGCTGATACAGGCATTTATCACTGAAAGCGTTTTTTTGATTTTAACAATGTGAGTGCATTGATTAAGATTTGTGGAATAAAATAAAGTCTCTTTTAAGGATAAAGTACTATGTTCCTATTGTCTCCTTTCACACTGAGGAACGTATAAGGAGGATTGTGCTAGTGATTCAAAGCAGCTGAAGGAGGGAGAATATACTATGTCATATACTGCAGCAATTCTAGTAGGTTCCAGGATATGTGAACCAAAAGTTTATTAAGCCTGTATAATAGGCTTAGAAGGAGGTGTCTTGGACTCGGTCACTTACAGACCATTTACCGTGATCTACCAGTGAGCCAAATTAATATGAGAATACGTGCACGTGGAAGTAAGACACTGACACTTCGCAGTTTGCCAACTTCCTAAAATTCTGTTTTATTGAGGAACTAACAGTATCATTTATAGGGCATATGTTGCAGGCAAAGCATATACATTGATTGGGTGAAAAGTCTACTGGGTTTCTGCGTGTTTGTCCATCCATGTTGATATCCTCCAATCATTGTCCCCAAAGAGACTCATTCCCTTTTATGGGGGTTGTTTACATTAAAAGATACTTTTCTCCTAATGAGTCACCAAGGGTGAGACTTTGGATGAAGGCGCCATCTTAATTATCATCATTGTTCTGTCAACCTATATCTGATTGTTTACTTGAGAGTAAGGAATTTAAAGAGCAAGAAACAGACAGTAGCAAGACTATAAAACTGTCATTTTACTGATCATCTAATAAAAGTGGACTGTCAATCACAATCCACTACAGAGGTGAACGCACATTTAATTTCACTGAAGGTTTCACAGAAAGTCACTGTATTATGTTTTAATCACTTTATCACAAATTTGGACTTTTTTGGATAAACAGATTTATTTTTGTTTTTTATTATGATCACTTTATTGATCTATTGAAATTTTTTTGGCAGTTTGTATATATATTCGTATATTTCACACACTTTATATAGTTGGATAATAGCAGCGCAACATTTATAGATATATGGTTTAAATTGCACAGTTGGCGTATGTGTTAATTGTTAGCGATCCCTAAGGTTTTTTTGTTTGGCTCGCAAGTTACACACACCTGTATTTTGTAAATGTTACAAATGGTTATTGTGTTTCCTCATATAACCTGTTAAATTGCACCTGTCCTAATCATTAACATTAATATAGGGAAGATTTGTACTTTACCTGTGTGATTGCCTACAGCGTTGTACAAACAGTACACTTATGTTATGATGCAACAGACTTCAATAAATCAAAACCCAGATACTACACGTTCCTGAAGCCTCTTTCTTGGTTAATAGAGGAAAATTTACTTTTTATAATAATATTATATTTCGCGCGATCATTATGGTATATCCTCCACAAAGTAAATTTACCACAGTGACTTTTGGGATATACAAAAAAAAAAGCAAAGGCAAACTTCCTTCTTTCCCTTCCTGTCTTCATGGGACTGAGATTGAGCTCTGCAGTCACTTTTGCAGCAGTTGTTTTCTTATTCCAGGTCACAATCCTGCACAATGTCCTTTTTGTCTCTTTCAGTCAGTTGACCATTTTGACCTTGATTATGCTTATTAGGCAATGTTTTCCTGAAAACTGTATATGATGTCATAAACTTTGATACTCTACCTCGCAACGCTGTAAATAAATTAGTAACTTCATACACAGAGGCACCAGCTAAATGCGGGCACCATGTTGCCCTCTTTGAAGCTCAGTGTCTGGGCAGGGCTGTGGAACGGACAGGTAGGCCTAGTGGCAGGGTAAGGCACTGGCTGACGACAACCACCACCAACAGACCGAAGTCCCTCAGGGCGCGGTGTCTAAGTCCCAGGCTGCCCTTCACCAGGGCCCCTGATGGTGGGGATGGACTTGACGCAGCCAGGAACCAGGTCGCGGCCCCCGAGACACCCCGGCTGCGGTAATGGCCGCCGCCAATGGCGTGTAGCTGGTGAGAATGATAATAGCGTAGTCAGGCAAGCCGAGTCGACAACAGGACAAAACCGTACAGAACAGTAGACAGAGAATCACAGGTCACGGGCCGGGTTCAGCAACGGAAGGTCAGATCGAAGGAAAACACAGAGAATGGTCTTAGTCACAAGCCGAGTCAGAATACCAGAAGAGTCACGAGCATATACACAGAGCTGTAGCAAGACAAAGACACAAGACACAAGTGCAAAGAACATGTGCGGATCACAGGCCTATATGTACTCAGCCACACCCCTCTGGGGGATGGACCTCAGAGACCTGAAGGCATAAAAGTTTCCCACCATGCTCAGCAGAAATCCAAGATGGATGCCAGCACATGGAGTAAACATAACCTCTGGGAAAAGGTAGGACCTTGACAGTCCGTGAGCTCTGATATGACTCTGTGTATTACTAGCAGCGCATGCAGTAAATGATGCAAGTGATGCTTCCAACCTGTTAGCTAGGTGTCTCATCACACAGAGGATGCAAAAGAATGTGACACCACTTCCGCTTTCAACACAAAATATGTCATCACTTTCACACCTGCAAATTATGTAGCATTTCCATTTTTTTGTCTAACCCCTATATGTAATATACAATATAAAAATAAAACGCAAAATTAAAGGGAGCTGCTAGAAAAGTTATCCACTTGCTTTCAGTTTAAATATTTAAACAATGTAGCACTTACAACCCTCCACTATTCGCCCATGCAGTAACAACTGTTATTTGAATATACACTATATTGCCAAAATGTAATGGGCCACCCCTCTAAATCATTGGATTCAGGTGTTCCAATCACCTCCATGGCCCCAGTTGTATAAAATCATCACCTAAGCATGCAGATTGCTTCTACAAACATTTGTGAAAGAATGGGTTGCACTCAGGAGCTCAGTGGATTCAAGCGTGGCACCGTGATAGGTTGTCACCTGTGCAATAAGTCCATCCATGAAATTTCCTCACTACTAAATATTCCACAGTCAACTGTTAGTGGTATTATAACAAAGTGGAAGCAGCTGCAAACAACAGCAATTCATCCACCAAGTGGTAGGCCACGTAAAAATGACAGAGCGGGGTCAGCGCATGCTGAAGTGCACAGTGTGCAGAAGTCGCCAACTTTGCAGAGTCAATAGCTAAAGACCTCCAAACGTTGTGTGACCTTCAGATTAGCACAACAGTGCATAGAAAGCGTCATGGAATGGGTTTCCATGGCCAATCGTCCAAGCCTTACATCACCAAGTGCAATGCAAAGGGTTGGATGCAGTGGTGTAAAGCAACCCACCACTGGACTCTAGAGCAATGGATATGTGTTCTCTAGAGTGATGAATCGCGCTTCTCTGTCTGGCAATCCGATGGACATGTCTGGGTTTGGTGGTTGCCAGGAGAACGGTACTTGCCTGACTGCATTGTGCCAAGTGTAAAGTTTGGTGGAGGGGGATTATGATGTGGGGTTGTTTTTCAGTGGTTGGGCTTGGCCCCTTTGTTCCAGTAGAGAGAACTCTTAAGGCATCAGCATACTAAGACATTTTGGACAATTTCATGCTCCCAACTTTGTGGGAACAGTTTGGGGATGGCCCTTTCCTGTTCCAACATGACTGCACACCAGTGCACAAAGCAAGGTCCATTAAGATATGGATGAGCGAGTTTGGGGTGGAGGAACTGGTCTGCACAGAGTCTAGTACAGCCTGCTTCACTTTGTCATCAGTGCTGAAATGCTGACCCCTGAGGAACTCTTTTTGGGTCCAAACAAGTGGAAATCACTCGAAGGGAGGTCCAGGCTGTAAAGAGGATGTGGCATTACCTTCCAGCCAAGTTGCTGTAATGCGCACACAGTGCAGAGAGCAGTATGAGTTTGTGCATTGTCCTGGAGAAATAGGACGCCCTTAGTGATCAAACCAGGTTGTTTTTTCTGCAGATGCACATGCAGATCACTCAAAACATGACAGTAATATTCACTGTTGATAGTGGCACTATGGGGTAGAAAATCCACATGAATAACGCCACATTTGCCCCAGAAAACACTTGCCATCACTTTACCTGCAGATGCAATTGTTTGATTTGTTTTTGGTTATGCATAATTTATCCAGGATCATGCGTTCCATGCACTGTTCACAGGAATGACTGCTGTGGATTGGGAATCACCATGGCTGGGATCATCACTGATGGATATACAAATTTGTAAAGGATTATTCCTCTTTAAGAGCGACATTGTTTTATCTAATGAAGACTGATACTGTATATGGCTTTTTGTTTTTGGTTTTAATATTAGTATGTCAGCCCAGGCACACCCGACAGGTACTAACTGTATTCAGCAATGTTGCAGTTAAATACAACACAATATCTGAGTAAAAATGAGTGACACAGCTGCAGTATGGCAAAGTAATTGGCAGATTGACTGCAGGGTATAAATACCATCTACAAAATGGCAGATTTTGCACTTCCTGATGACGATCCCTTGATCGAAACGCGTAGAGGTTTGATGACACAACTTCCTTCGATGTCACATCCACCCTTTGGAACGCACGCTGTCTAGAAGCTTAACCACCATAGTGGCAGCCATTTTATTCCCTTTACAAGCAACAAGGCTGAATACACCAAGTGCCAGGTTATGGGCACTACTTTTGTGAGATGTATTTTTGCATTATGTCCCCACCATTAAAGTTGTTACGGTTTTACACTATAGGATGTCCCTTTTTATTTATATGCTGAATACTTGCATTATTACCTGTGGAAAAGAGGAGGAATTTTGGCATTGACATAACCCCTGTGAAGGAACACTGGTCACCATTAGCAAACACTGCATACTGGGATAGTCCCACAAGTGCAAACAACCATCCTAGAGATAGGTGGTCATGGGATGACGGTGAGTGCAAGTCCATGTGGGGCACCAGTTTACGCACAGTGCAGCACCAGTCACTATATACGGAGTTCACGATCAAGAATTGAGCACTTTATTCTCACATACTGGGACTGAATTTTATTAATACCAGTATATTAAATGTTTATTGAATGTCACAAGTTATTTATTTATTGTCACTAAGTTTCTATTATTTGTACGGCTTATGCGCGGTCCATATGGTATTTATTTACATAGGAAGAAAGCCATGCTATATTGGGACTAAATGTTTATTAGTTTTCATTTCTGCTTGGACTTGTCTTTTCATACATTTTCCTGAGAAGACTAGTCTTAGTTCTGCTTTCATTTGATTATTGTTGCAATAATGAAATAAATGTTTCCAGGCTATATCGTGTCAGGCACCTTTCATACAGTATATAAATAGCCAAAATGTGGTAAATGTTCCCAAGTTCCTAACAACCCATTAGGATGGATCTCCCAGCAGATATGACTTTGTTATTGGCATTGGGGGTCTCCTGGCTTATCTTATATTGAAGCATAAAGACATTTTGGATACGAAGGCATCTCCCACCAGGACCAACACCTCTTCCACTGCTGGGGAATGTGTTTGAGAGTGGAAGAGATGATGTAGCAAACTCTCTGATGAAAGTAAGTTTTTTAAATTACATGTTTTGTTATTGATCTTGTTCTTTTTGCTTCTTCTTGGTTCTATTTAATACTGTATGAGCATCATAATATACAACACAGCATAAGCACCATATGGCTTTGCACACTCAAGAAAGCAACTATATTCATCTCCCCTGAATGGACTTGCATGAATAAGGTAATGCACCCTAATATCTGCATAAAGCCAGCTGCAAACAGAGTTCACATTATTATGTCAACTGTCACACGGTGTTGAAAAGAAATTTAAAGCAATGTGTTATATTAAATAACATATCTTAAATTTTCATCTATTTAATTCAGCATGTTATTGTATTATTATTTTGTACTAATAAAAGAATGACTCTATATGTAAATGGTTCTTCATGCATACATAAAGTAAGGGCTACATACAAGTAATACCTGCAGACTCCCTTTATTTTGTAAGCTTTACGTACTTAAAGTAACACTAAAGGAAAAAACGTTTTTTGTTTTGGAGAGGGATTAGAACACCTATTTGGTTTTTATGGTGGTCTCTTCCCCATTAAGGAGATTCACTCTCTCTGTTTTGTGCTGTTTACCGTTATCATCGAAAGTAAAAAGTAAAGAAAACACCACATTTTGGGCTTACCCCAGGAAAGTAATAGAGGGGAAATTTTCCCATGGGTTACTAGTTCTGGTGACCTGAGAGTCCCAAAGGAATTCCCTTAATTTTGCTGAGATTCTCTCACTTCCTGTTTTGGCTATGGGACAAGAAGTAAGGCTAAATCTCCCCATTGAGACACAGATGGGGAAAAATAAACTGATAGGGGTTATAACCCTACCTTAGTTTATTCAAAATGAAAAAGAAAAAGTTTTTCCTGTAGTTCTACTTTAGGATAATATTTGGGTTTTTGATGTGAAAACCCTCTTTTTCATTAGTAGAAGCCTACCAAAGTTGCAATTGCTTTTTATTATGTTATTACTATCTGTGCCCTTGTTGGTAAAGTTTTCCCCTCAACTTAACTGTGCCCTTCATCAGGAAAGAAGAGAAATGGTTTAGAGGCTATGGCATGTATAAGTTAGCCTTTATGTGAATGGCCTTAATCTTTGTTTGTGTATACATGTGGTATTTATTCATATGTGCTTTTGTTCTAGACCATTTCTCTTCATCCATCTGAAAGACACATTTCCAGATGGAACTCAAGTGACCTATCTATGAAGCTATAGTTAAGCACAGACTGGTCCATTATGTGTGATATGTATAATATTTAATTTTGTCTAATAAAATTTTGTTTCTTTTTTTACATTAACGGCGTTGTTGACTTGTACCTAGAGAGTCCCATCCATCACCACTCCTTCTTTATTACCTTTTCTGATTATTCGCTATGTGTTCATTTAGTCTAGTTTGGAAGGTACGTACCATCTGGCCTACATATTGGTGGCCGCATTGGACATTGGATAAGGTACAATATATTTTTTGAAGAACAAGTCAAAAAAGATTTAACTTAATATGATTTATGAGTGCATACAGACTGAAAAGAGTTAAATCTCCGAGCCTTCTTAACATTCATTTCATAAATATTGTATTTCCCACAGGGATAATATACCTTCATTTCCTGGAAGAAAGTAACTTTTTTAGGTGGTTCTTCCACATTAGGAGCTACTTGTAGTCTTAAGGGGGCAACTCCCATAAAGACTTCCTGTCAGGGGTCGGTTGTTCTGCTGCAATGCGCTGGGCGGCGATGCGCAGAACACTGACACACTCTAACCAGTAGGCAGCGGGACCTGGGCGATCGTGACGGCCGCGCATGAACCAATGACAGCGCAGGGCGCGCTATTTAAACGGGACAGGAGGTATGTCAATTGCCGTTTGGTCTTTATTTGTCCTGTTCCTGTTATCTGATCCTGTGAAGCTTCCTGTTTCCGACCTCTGCTTTGATCTTGACCCTGCTGATTGTCTCCTGCTTGACCCCTGGCTTGACCTGACCATTCACCTGCCTGATCCTCTGTACCGCGCTGCCCGTTAGTTGCTGAACCCGGCTCGTGACCCTGACCATTCTCTGCCTGCTCCTCCAGTACCTCGCTGCCCGCACATTGCTGACCTGGCCTGACTACGCCTTACTTTACCCTGACGATCCATCCATCCCGCACGGATCTGTCCCTGTTACCAGGCCTGCCAGCCTCTTCACGTCAGGTTCCATTTCCCGCATACCCCTAACGGTGCTCTCTACCACTGCCAGACGTACTCAGGGGTCGCGACCTGGTCTCACTCTGCTCCAAGTCCATCCCCACCATCAGGGGCCCTGGTGAATAAGCAGATTGGGACTTAGACCCCGCTCCCTGAGGAACCCTGTGCTGTGGGCTGCTAGAGACACCACCAGGTGGTGCATGACACTTCCACAGGATTATCAGGTAACTAAGAGCCCAATACCTTTTCATTAAGCAACACACTCCAATGCCTTTGAATAATATTTTTAATTGCAAAATGTTGTGTAGAATAGGAGGTGAAAAACACATGATTGAAAGGTCTCTCACCTCCTTCTTCCTGGGCACTAACATCTTCCCTATTTCAAGATCTCCATTGATGAAATCTTCATCTAGATCTACGGGATTATACCCCTTCTCAAGAAACCGTTGCTTTAAGAGGTCGACCTCCTGCGTGAAATCAATCCTATTAGTACAATTTCGCTTGAGTCTCAGAAATTGGCTTTTAGGTACTGATCTGAGCCAGACAGGATGGTGGCAACTTTTCAAGTCAATAAAGCCATTCCTGTTGGTCTCCTTGAAGACGGTTGAGGTAATAAAAGTAACATC